GTGCTGGTACGCCGTACCGGTGCGTACCGGCCCTAAAAGCGCTGCTCAGCATGTCGAGTTGAGTCATGATATCTGATTTCTTGAGCACCTCAACTTTCTCTCCACATTCAAGACATGTCGGGGTGCCCCTGCGCTCAACAAAGAAACATTCCGTCTCCTGTTTTTTCTTGAAATTAGCTGTTCTCGTCACTGCAGATTTTAAAAACGACATGACAGGGAGGGACTGTATGAGAGGAAATCTTTTTCTTCCACTTGGTGTCATTTTTGAATTATGTTTTGCCGAAAGCTATCATGAACCTTAGCTATGGTAGCCCATAAGTGAAAGCGCTGTATAAATAAATATTGTATTGTATTGTATAAGGGCGGCCCGGTGGTCCAGTGGATAGCGTGTCGACCTCACAGTGCAGAGGTACCGGGTTCAATTCCAGCTCTGGCCTCCCTGTGTGGTGTTTGCATGTTCTCCCCATGCCTGTGTGGGTTTTCTCCGGGTACTCCGGTTTCCTCCCACAATCCAAAAAACATGCATGGCAGGCTGAGTGAACACTCAAAATTATCCCTAGGTGTGAGTGTGAGCGCGGATGGTTGTTCGTCTCTGTGTGCCCTGCGATTGGCTGGTAACCGGTTCAGGGCACCCACGCCGCACGTTTGAGACCCCCTGATTTAGAGTCTTCAATTTACTTAACATGCATTCTTCGTGAATGGGGCTGGAAGTTTGCAGAATGCGTCCGCGAGCACAGTCAAAGCTTGAACCCAGAATCTTTCATTTGGGCCGTCCCCAATGCCAATTTTATTTCATGAAACAATTTGTATTGTAGGTCTCTTCTTCACCCGAACGGCGTTATCTCAAACAATGCACAGATTGATCAAACGAAGCCTTAATGAGTTTTTAACTCTGTCCATCTCGTCAATGTGAGTGGGAGTTCTGTGAGTCAAGTGTGTGGCACACAGTTGTTAGAAAGTGGCAGCTGTTTTTCTGGCAGTCATGGCTTTGGCCTCCCTTTAACTAGCCTCATTACAGCAGTAATGAGACAGGGGCCGGTGCAGTGTTTACAATATTTAAACGCCGCTGTGCCCCTTAAGACGCTATTTCGGGCCCCTCCAGGACCTCTCATTACTGTCTTCTGTCCCTCCTGCTTTATCTTATCAAAGAGTGAGAGCTTGCTGGCATCCCTTTCCGCACACAACCCCAACAGCAGCCTCAAGCGGACCCGAATGATCAGGGGGCTTGTTGAACACGAGACCCATGAGTGCCACCTCTTCCCGGGCTGGCAGACATCCTGACAGCGAAGGATGAGACAGGGATTCTCCGGAAAGTGCTGAACATTCACACGCCAGCATGTTACATTTCGCAGTTTGTGCTCATCCAAGACTGGTCTCTCTCTGCCTTGATTCACACTCACTGAAGCAGTCGTTCAGCTTGGAGGGGAGGAGCTATGACAATGTAAGCAAAGCTCTAAATAGCGCTCAGTGTCTGGGAATGACATTATTATAGCTTTCGAAAACAAAGGCTGGCTTAGGAGTTCGGCACGGTACTGTATATACAGCCACCAGACACAGTATTACGAAGGCATGCACAAAATAATGATATCCAGTGTCAAATATTCAGCCCTGACAAAGAGCTGAGCTCTGTCTAATACGTTGGTTCCTTCAGTCAGTCACATGAGAAAAGGCAAAATACTATAAGACTCAAATTTTATGATGATTCAGTTCTACACCACTATAAGCACAATAATAAACATCTTGTTAAATTAAATGAATACATCACAGAGAGATAACAGATCAGTACTTTTGTAAAGCCGTACAATTTGGTGCAGCTGCCGTATGATATTAAGTCCTCATAATTGTTTCGACCGAGCATCAGGTCAGCCAACTAGTACCGTATTTGCCGCACTATAAGGCGCACCGAAAAGTCTTCCATTTTCTTAAAAGCTCACAGCGCGCCCTAAAATCTGGTGCGCCTTGTGTATGGTCATTACGGTAATACCTGTTTGTGAATACTCGTTTGTGAATACAGTACACAACAAAGGAATAAATAACAAACACTTCTGAGACAGTCCAGTCGGCTATATTTTACTGACATCTGAGCGTTCTGTTGGATCTACGCTCAAGGAAATGTCAAAATAAATTCTGTGGGGGGGGCTACAGAATTTATTTTGTGATTTCCTCGCTTGATTTTCTGTTTTGATTTATTATTTTCAATTTTCGTAGGTTCATTGAAGTAATCGTTAATTTACGTTTTTCGGAGGCGGTCATGAACGCCTCTCGAGTTGAACAGAAGGAGCGTAGCTCCATCTAGTGGATGCATTGTAGATTGTGCCCTATAACCCAGTGCGGCCAATATATGAAAAAATTTACAAAATAGGCCATTCATTGAAGGTGCGCCTCATAATCCAGTGCGCCTTTTAGTGCGGAAAATACAGTACGTTTGAATACTTGTGGACATAGGCTGAAATATATTTACATCTGCACTTATGCACAAGCACGAGCAATAACTTGCCTCTCAAACCGAAATGGAACGGAGCCTCAATTCATTGTAAATGCTCTCACCTATCGTTGCCCAGAAATGTCCTGTTTTAATTAAAAATCTCAGGTGGTGGCAAATGAATTTGCACAGCGATATACATAAAAATGGGACCATCAAAGTCTTGCTGTACATCACATTCCGACCACTCGTGCCTCAGCGTCAATTTGCAACACACCTTGGGAATTGCGGTTCATTCGTGCGCTGCACGTGGCGTCCCAAACATAAGAGGAGGCCGGCAGGATGAATCGGAACTCCTGCGCGACGTTATTTCAAGTGCACATTTTGTGCCTAAGCAGCATGGTGTTGGTCAATCCACTGCTCTCATTCCTGAAATGATTTAACTCTGCTTGCTGTAGGATCGATGTGCGCTGAGAAAGAGAATCCCAAAGCAGGGAGAAGTTTACAGAGCTTTAGCCTAAGGCTACATGTTGTACAAAAACCAGCAACAACATCCCTTGAGAAGAGGCGAATCTGCTGCTCCAGCTGAGCTTGTACTTGGAGGAGGTTTATTTGTGCACTGAAGGATAGCTTTTATTGCAGAGAAGTGTATCCTTAAGGTACAGCTTTTTACTTGCCCTTTTTTTTTTAACTGATGGTGAACAAGTCGGCAAACGATTAGTATTTTAGTTGTCAATGCAGCCCCGAGTGTTGTTTTTCTTTCATACGTGACCAGTCACACCGAGACCGAGAGCCTTTTTTTTTTTTTCAATCCACCCTCATTTTCCTTAAGCATTCAGCAGACAGAAATTCAATCTCACTTATTATATCCTTATCAGTATGAAATTAAGGTTAATTGACTTTGTGAGGGGAAACATCAAATGAAACATCCCTAATGGAAACGAAATGAAAACAACGTCATCTTCAATTTCTTGAAATATTTCTCCACACACAGCCTACTTTCCTATTCCACAGCCTGAGAAATAAGCTCCTCTTGTCCCAGGAGATAATAAATGAATTGAAATCACCCCCCCCCCCCACTCCCCCCATACTCCCACCACCCTTTTTTCCCTCCTCTTTCTTTCTTATCGGTCATCTATTTTTCCAGAGTAAGCTATTACTTGTGCCCGTTGCTAGGCAACAAGAAATATTATTAGTGGCTATTATTAGTCGGGCTCTGCAAGAGTAGTACTGAAATGTAAAAGTGGGAACTATGAATGTGTTACATAAATCTTCGGCCCTTTCATCGTGCGTGTAAGTCTGTGTTTGTGCAGTGATTTACCGCCACGTTGGTGCATTTATGAGGGGGGGGGGGCGTGGAATAAGAAACTGGAACATTACCCTGAAGGGCTATTTGAAAGTAAATAATTGCAAAGGTGAAACAAAAGCTGTTTCAAAAAAACGACACTCCCTCTCTGAGTCCTTAAACAATATTGTACAAAAAAACAAAACAAAACAGTTGTCTTATTACAAATTCTTCATCCTGGGTTGCACATCAATTCACCTTTTGCAATCTGCAGAGTGTGCTCATCGATTCCTGCGCCTGACTGTCGCTTTCTCAAGCCAGCATCCACTACAATGACTGTTCCGATCAGAAGCATCTTTTTATGGCTTGAGAATGTTCAGCACAGCAGCGAGCGAAATGTGACCTAATCCCGATTAACAGAGGCCTTTAGCCACCACCCACAGTGAAAACAGAGGAGGCAACGTATGCCGTTTGAGAAAGAAAACCACATAAGACCTGATTAACGGAGGATAAATGCCACGGATGCTCACATTAGAGCATAAATATTCATGATTGGTGGGTTACAGAGTGGGGGGGGGAAAAAAGTAATATTTATGTCAGATGAAAGTATATGACGTTGAATAATTAACCACACGGGGCATCCATAATTCATCTGATTCAATTCTATGATTAAAGCATCTGACTATTCAGCAAGGATGTTTACATGTTGGGTCTGAAGCATGTTTGACACGAGAAAAAGTCCTTCTGCTTTCACAGAGGGGGGATGAGGGTCCCTTTTAGAGAAGAAAAAGTAGCTGACAAGGGACATTCCCTCTTCTTGTCAAGCTTTCTGTTCCAAAACCTCCCGCTAGCCTTAAACCCACCTCTTTTTTTTCTCCCCCCCCAATCTCTTTTGCTTTGCCGCTCCTCGCAAAAGAAAATGTGCAACGCTGAGTTTCTTGCTCTCTTTCTCGACTCGCTTTGAGGTAATGAAATCTTTTGAGTTGCGCAGCTGAGGAGATATTAGAGGAACCGCCGCACGCTGCAAAGACGAGCGCGGCTGCAGCTCTGTGCACTCTTGTTTATAAATGTTTCATACCCAAAGCTCGAGCCCTCTGCTTTGCCTTCACTGTCTCGGCTTCCGTGGCCTCTAACCGTACTAATTATCGCGCTAATGGGTGAACGCTTTGCCACGATGAAAAAATGATCACAGACAGACAATCCGGATCAGGAAAGGGAAGCACATCGCACCACAGCGTGAGATGTCAAAAAGGGGCAGAGGGGCTTGAGGAAGGTGCGTGAGGGCGTACTTACCGAGTGCATAGGCCCCGAGAGGAGGTGGGTGTCCTGACCCAGCATGTTGGACATCATAAGGGCGGGCAGCTCGGGGTAGGAGTAGGTGTTGAGCAGGCCATTGTGAGGCAAGGAGTGAAAGGGGTACCCTGACTCGTGCTCCATGAGGTGCAGCAGAGAAGGGTCAGCATGATTGGGGGGTGTAATTGGGGGGATCTCGTAGTCTTCATCCCCTGCTCCTCCTCCTCCGCCGCCACCGCCGCCATTGCTGCCCCTGCCCGGAGTGGAATAGCTCTGCAAATGCACACAAGGTCAATTAACAGCAATTTGGGCTGATTTGCGCATGCTTGTCAACTTGTCGGCTGTTGTGAGTGAATGTTGGCAACGTATTTGGAAAAACACGACAAAATGCAGGTTACAAAAAAAGACCTGCATTCATACCCACGGGCAATTTAGACTCTCCAATCTACCGGCATGCATTAGCATATCTTTAGGTTCGTGGGTGTGAACTGGAGCATACAGCGGAAATCCACAAAAATAAAATAAAAATATTCAAAGTTTGCACCTTAAAAAAAAAAAAAAATCCAGATGATCAAGTTAAAATAATGCAGCTAATCAATTCACAGTCTCGCTACAGATGACAGTAGCGAAAATAACATTTTTGAGTCAAATGCCCAATTATTGCAATTTAGTTCGCCTGCAGCAATGTTTTTGTGTTTTGTGTTTTTGTTACAGATTGCTGTCGTTCCACACAGCAAGGAATTATTCTGCAATAACTTGATTCATTATCAATTAAATACTCAGGGCGAGACACACGCCACAGCTGTTCAACAGAATATTTTGCCTCACAAATCTCAACAATAAAACGTACAATACAAACAAAATACCATGGAGTGTAACGTGGTGGTTATTTCGTAATCCCATAAATATCATCAAACCATTGCCAGGTTCTTCATTATAAAAAAAAAAGCCTAATGTATGTAAATGAGCGGTAAATAAATAAATACATTTTTAAAAAGCCCCGGGGAGTGATGCATGAGCAGAGACGAGGTTGTCTTATGCACAAGCTTGTCTTGACATAATGCTGCACAGAGAAAGATGGTTTTCTGCTCTCAAAAGCATACTGGGGGTATTCACCAGGGAATGAAAAGCAATTTTGTCAGCGGCAATCTGATGCCAACTCCCCTTTATAATGACTGAAGAAAATTAATCATCACAAATAATATTCCAGTGTCAGCCATTCAAGTGCTTTTTAATAGAATTTTTATTATTCATGTCTCGTGGTACACATCAACTAGCCCGTTCTGCAACATTTCAGGAATCAATTCAAGATTGTCCTCATGTAGCCTGTCATCTCACCCTGCCAGTGCAGCAATTCATCTCAGAAACAAACATTTAAAGCAAATAGAAAATGCGGAAGAACAGCTATGATATCGCCCGAGCACAACTGGTGCCTCAAGTGAGGCTGCAGCGCTCTTAATGCATGCGATTACTGGAGAATGTAATAACACTAAAACATTTTATTATGAGTGCTGAATGTGCCTTTTCTTGACGATTGCTTAAAATGATCACGAACAGTTACACTAACAGTTGTTTTCTTTTTTTTTCTCTTTTCTCCCCACAGTGAAAGGTGTTTGCAATGGCTCGTATCATATCGAATTATGGTTGTCAGGCACTTAGTATACAAATAGAAACAAATCTCACAGTTTTTTTTTTTTACACTTTTCCAAGGGTACCAGATGCATAACATCTGTCAAAGTGCTCATGCTGCAACATGAGGAACAACGGTTACCAGTTCTGCGTTGTATTTTGTTTGACACCTTCCCCTGTGAAAAGAGAAATGGGAAAATAAATAAATAAATGGACAAAAATAGCCTGCCATGGAAAAAGCCCACTGTCCCTAGCGCTGCAATGATTCGTAAACTGTTGCAAGAGCAAGGAATTCCTTCTTCGTTTGAAAGAAAATGTCATGGGTGTCCACTGTCCGTGTGCAAATAACACAAAAATCATAGAGAACAAGTCAAACCCACGTTCCATTTACGAATGCTAGCTTTGTTAGCTTAGCGGGCTAACTATTTTGGCGAATGTGATAACAACAACAAACCATTATTTTAGATTGAATAGGTCGACATTTGCTGTGGGGTGAGAATATAAACTGGGAAATAATCCAACAGTAGTTTATATCGCGATCGACACCTGATCAATTTCAATAGAAATTACGCTCAATATCAATTAAAAAAAAAAAAAATCAGGATGTAAACCCCGACCCTCGGCATCCTGTTTGCTGTGGGCAGAGGCTACGTTATGAAATTAGATCTGTGGCAAAATCCTTGTCTGTCAAACATCCGAAGGAGACGTGCCGAGCCACCAAAGCAAAAGTGCAGCGCGTGTGTGGTGCATACGTACGCTGAATGAAAGTGTAGCTTAACCTTAACTCCTTTAAAACCAGTCACCCAAGTGCAACTATTGCAAAAAGGTGATATTGTCCATGCTAACACGATCAAACAGTTTCGGATGGAGAAGTGGAGTAGAAGTAAATGACTTGCTACCGTGTATATATATATATATATATATATATATATATA